ATAATAATTTAGGTTCATAGTGACATTAGAAATTTTACAATTGTTTATAGATATATAAATTTAAGATGATATAATTTATAGATATTTAAATTCAAGAGAATATAATTTTAAAAGTATCATAAATATTTAGAATAACTACATTAAAAAAATAAGCTATGAAATTAGGAGAATTTCAACTGTACACTATATATTTTATTTATACTTTTTACTTACGTTTTAATTTCTTTGACTTTATCCATTTTTTAATTTTTTTCGTATGCTTTTCTTTTTGAAGTAACGAGGCGGTTTCTATTTAGATATCGAATTTTTATAAAAGTTCTTAACGATAGAAAAAACGTATTGCTGTTTTATATTAACTGTGTCATTTCGGAATTCATTCTTTACATAGTTGTTCATTTACTTTAGGGAACACGCGGAAAATTATATTTTTTCCTTTTGTTTTTCTATCAGAATTTTTTCAAGTTGCAATCGCTCAAACTGGCATTTCGTTAATAGTTCTAAAATTTTGTAAATTCACGTCAAAAACTGAGGAAAGTCATTATAGAAAGTAACAAATGTCTTAGAATATGTCACAAAAAGAAATGCTCCGATATTAGTTAGAGCTAGTAAGGCCGAACGCTCTGTTCTTGAAGTAAAAGTGCGAACTTTGCGCCAAAGTGACGGCACTAGAGAAAATTGGAAGATTGGCGCGGCGAGAGTTTCTTCAAAGCAGTGAACCAGCCCTTCTATTTATTCTCTTTAGCCCTGAGAATCAGGTGCCCCTTTGGTTTGGCGATAATTTTCTTTCAGTTTTGCTGAAATCCCACTTCTGGCTACCATGATATACTTTGCGGTCTTTGCTTTCAATGACGTTACCTTCATGTTAAAGCAACTTTTCTTTAGCTTTGTGTGATTGATTCTTGGTTTATTTTTATATATATTCGTTTATTTGCAAATCGCCAAAATTGAGTAGGGGCACCCGATTGTAAATTATTACAGAAATTTTAATAAGGAAAATTTATTAATAAATTAAAAATTTGTGTGCTAGTTGATAAAATGATAAATTAAAATTATAATTTAGTGAATATCATTTAAGTGTTAAACGTCTAATCATTTCTTTAATTTTAATGCCAGTTATAAAATCACCGTTAGGTTTTATCCAGAGAAAAAAAAATAACTCATTCATTTTAGATATTAATTTTCACATTAATAAAAGCGTCTTCAGACATCTGAAATTAATAATTAGCTAATTTTGTTGTTGTCTTTGATGTAGCTTCAATAGTGAAAACAAATATGATATATATAAAATCAAAATGACTGTCATGCACTATAAACAAAAGAAGAAACTTTACCCATTTTTCTTTTATTAAAATTGAGGGTAAAATCCTAGAATAGCCCATCTCTTGGCGACTTTTTGAAATCTCGCTAAATTGACGATCATTACTGGGATCACCGTTGCTTTTTAATTATTAAAAAAAGTAATTTAAATTATTAAAAATTTATTAAAATATTTTTAATAGAATAAAAAATGGTCAGACTATATTCGAGGATGCCCCTTGATTCTCGTCAAGTTGTGATCGCGGTTGATCGCCAAGCTGGGCGATTCTGTTTTATTCATGGGAACGTCTATAGTTTTCTTGGAAACCCAATAATGATTCAGATAGGTTTAGATTTTAGGGTTATTTTTGAATGTTCAACGGTACATGTAATTTCAGACATCAGTTAGTTCTACGTTGGATGTCGACTGGTAAGGTTAATTTTGCTTATGATCCTGAAAAGGAATATTGTGTTCATTGCAATTTTATTAAGTTTTGGCCGATGTTTTATTATATCCGTCGTTGAACAGCAGACGCAATTTTGGATTTACGACTACTAATGTTCAACTCCGTAACCTCGTAATTTTTTGAACTAATCCAGAAGACAAGGAAATTCCTGGATCAGTACCCCCAGAGGTATTGATGTGCTATGGGAACATGGAGAACTTTGCGACTCGACAGATTTAACGTGCTTCTGTCACCATTTACTACACGGGGAGTCTTCGAAATGCGGGGATCGAACCCACGAACTCTTGGACATGGGCCCAGGGCTCTACCAGCCAGGCTATCCCGGCCCTCTGATGTTTTATTGAAGTTTCATTATGTTTTTGCCGCCATTCCTGCTTGCACGGTGATCCACGAAAACAGGAATAGCGCCAAGCAGAAAAAAAAAACACTCTCCAATTTCGCCAAGGGGGAACCCTCAAATATATTTTTAATTTTTACCTAAAAAATAACTTACTTTAACATCTTCACCCGGAACCACATAAAAAAATGAAATAATAACGGTAATAATTGAAATAATGGTTAAAAAATGAAATAATGACAATAATTCTAACAGCAAGAGATCAGACGCATAAATGGCGAAAAAATAAACCTTTTTACCTCTTTCCTAAGGAAATCCAAATTTTGCGTAGGTATGCATATCACATATCACCCAAATAACCCATCAGGTTTCAGAATTTTGGCGGTGCTATCGGACGTTCAAAATAATCACCCCAGAATATCTAGTTTACCTAGAAACTTAGTTCAGCGAGATTTCAAAAACTAGCTTGGCGAGTCATGCCACGGCCTGGATCATTCTAGGATCCTTCCAAATTAAGATACAAAACTTTATAAAATAAATCAAAATGTGCAAACTAAATAAAAAATCGATACTAAACATACTATAAAGGAAACGAAACATAAAATTATAAGGCTAATAATGAAATTACTAAGCGGTTCTGGGGTACAAAAACATTTAAATAATAAAATAAGTAAAATACAATACATTACAAAAGTATAATTATTAAATTACTAGAAAAAGTATTCCAAAATAAAATTGTAATAAAAATTTTACTTACACCACCTCTCTAATACGCTTGAATAACTGCATTGTTTTTCTCAGTAAAGAAAATTCAAAGCTTTCAGATCCGCTTCTAAGTTTAAACGTCAATCAATTAGTTAAAAATGTCGTTTTTGGAATAAAAAAGTTTAGTTGTTTTTCGCTGATAAATTTGTGAATTGAATTTAAGCTGATGCGTACCAATTAAAAGAAAATTTCAGTTTTTTATTTATCTATTACTTAAATTTAAAAATACATTTTAACAAAATAATTTTCTCGCCTGATAATTTTCTCGCTCAAATAAATTTTTAAAAAATAAATCTCACGTTTACCAAGGAAATACTTAGTTTTACTGAAATGCATTTTCTTTTTTTTAATCTATTTTAGTGAGAGCAAGAAGTTCGAACAGTTATTGTTTTAAACACTAATATAAATGGNATCCGCTTCTAAGTTTAAACATCAATCAATTAGTTAAAAATGTCGTTTTTGGAATAAAAAAGTTTAGTTGTTTTTCGCTGATAAATTTGTGAATTGAATTTAAGCTGATGCGTACCAATTAAAAGAAAATTTCAGTTTTTTATTTATCTATTATTTAAATTTAAAAATACATTTTAACAAAATAATTTTCTCGTCTGAGCTTCTTGAAATTTTTTTTTAAAAATAAATCTTACGTTTACCAAGGAAATACTTAGTTTTTTTTATCTATTTTAGTGAGAGCAAGAAATTCGAACAGTTATTGTTTTAAACACTAATATAAATGGTTGAATAGTGTTCATTGCAAGGTTTATAATCATGTGTGACCATGACCATGTATGGTCGTATGTAATCCTCATGACCATGTATGGTAATTCTCAGAGCATTGTGTCCTCTGAGCAATCACAGAGATATTAAAAAACGTAGATAAGAATGTTTGCGTTCTCAGCTAGGAATCATTGCAATTTGTGAATTTTTTGATCAGAAATTTTTCGAAATTTTCCTTCTAAATACAAGGAAGCACCAGTCAGCTAAAAACACCCATATATGGCACGAAATCTTTATTGAAAGGTATTTTTTTTTAAAAAACTTGTTTTGTCCATATCGTCTTAAGTTCTGAGAACGTATAGCGCTAATATGAGAGTGGTCAGTTAGCAATATTTTTTTCTTCACTTTTTTGAAATGCGAAAAACATTTGAAACTAGTTAGTAAAAGTTTGATTTTTTTTTCATAACGCCTAAATATGCTAAAAAAGAATTATCGAAAAAAGTTTTTTTTAAAAATTTTGTGTTCGAAAAACGTTAATTTAAAAGCATAGATATTGATTACATAAGAATGGACAATTTTTGAATTTTTTAAAAGTTTTTGGCTGGAAATGTACCTTCCAAACTGATCTTCTAAATACAAGGATGGAAGCGTGATTCCTTAGAAGACGTGATATATAGCTAAAAATATATATAGAAAATTAAAAGAAAAAACTTGTTTAGTCTATATCGTGCTAAGTTTGGAGAAGGTATATCGCTAATATAAGAGTGGGCACTTAGCAAATTTCTTTTTGAATTTTTGCAAAGCAAAATTCATTTGCAACTGATTACTTTATTGAAAATTTGCTCCAATTTGCTTGAAAACCCCTATAAATGTTAAGAAATATTTATGAAAACGTTTAAAAAGACACTAATTTAAGAGCATGAATATTGATTATATAAGAGTGGACAGTCGGCGAATTTTTTTAAAAATAATTTTTTAATTTGAATCACTGAGCAGTAGACCCAATTGTGAGTTTACAACTCCTAATGATCCTATCCGTAACCTTGAAATTTTAAAACCAATCTAGAAGACGAGGGAACTTCTGTATTAAGTATCGTTGGAGTGACCATTAAGAGTGACCAACAAATTTGCCCAACTAATATCCGAATGACAAGTGTCAATCGGGTGGCTATTAGAAGAAAAAAAAATAGCATTCACTAATTTGAATTTATCCCGAGATTTCAAATAGATATGACGCTTATCTAACTATACCTTATCAGATTATCAAACACTATAAATTGTAGAATGACTGAACATGATAAGAACAGCTTTTATTTATTAAACCAATGATATTTTGATGCACTTATATAACTTTTTACAACACCTGTGAAACTTCTTATAAAATAGATAAAATTCTTATCAAATCAATGGGTAGATAACTTTGTATTTAAAGGAAGGATCGAGAAATTGCAACTATTTTGCCTCGTTTATTTGAATTGCATCAACATGCAACGGATTTTTATTTTGGCATTTGTTGCAGTAACTGTAGGAGTGGTAACTGCGCAAAAAATAAGCGGCGGTGGTTGCCCTGATGTTCCTGTCAAACAAAATTTTGATGTCAACAAGGTTTGTTTCATTAGATTTTTGTTGTATTTAATTAAATTTATATGAAAGTGTTGAATGAATTTGTTCGTAGATTTCAAAATTAAGGGAAAGTGTGATGAGTATTTTAAAAATTAATTTGACTTGTTATAAATTAAAATAAAATGAATAATAATTGTAATAAGAAAGAATAAACGAATATTTTGATTCTCTAACACTAAAACACTCCTGAAGTAACATATCAGATAACTATTGATTAACAGGAAAAATAATTATTGTTAAATATCCTTATTACATACGTCGACATTCAACTAGTTATTAAGTGACAACCAAGAAAGACAAAATCTGGTGAATGTCGACTTTCTCTGGTGAGTGTTAACATTGAGAGTCACCAGCTATAGATTGTACATTATAAATTGTACGAAACAGTTTTAAGTGTCTTTCAAATATTATTGTTTTGTTAATTTCGTATTATTTTTTTCTTCATTATTACAATTTTGGTAATTTGTTATTATTTTTCAACAAAACAACACGTTTTGAACTCTTTTCAAATATTTTACATGCAAATCTTTCGCCATTAAATAACTGTCGGCAACGTCATATTTTTTATAATATTTTTGTTAAACTATTATTAGTAATAAATTATTTATTATTAAGTAATATATTCTTCATTAACCATTGTAAATTCTTATTTATCATGAGCAATTATTTATTGTTAATTACAATATCATTTACTATATATGTAAATTAATTATATTAATTTAAAATATAATATGGTACGTACTATTGAAAATTTTTAATAAAACTTTTTTATTATTTTGAACTTTTTTATTATTTTGAACTTTTTTTATTATTTTTGAAATAAATTACTAATATGGAACGTTTCTCATTTTAATAACTTAGATAGTTGGTGTCTTTTTTAATTGTAACTCGGATCCTAAGTAATCGAAATTTCTGTAACTTGTTATTAATTTTAGGTAAAATAACATTTTTGTAATTGCTTTCTCGTTTAAGAGTGATGGAAAACTTTTCAACGTCTTAAAATGTATGCATTAATAACTAAATAAATGGTTAGGGGTTAAATTTCCAAATTCGAGGTTATTTTTAGCTTAAAAATATTTATAAACTGTGCTTGTACTGTTTGCTATTTTTTAAATTTTTTTATTTACTAATTAACTTTACTAATTAATTCTTTAATTTATTTATTTACCATTTAATTTTCAAGTTTATGCTTATTTAACTTTAGCTGGAAACATGAAAAATTGAAGATAACACTCAAAATCGGACTACCCTTACATGTTATTTACGTCATGATATTACTCTCCTTAAATCGATTTATGACTCATAACTTTTTAGAATTTCTAAAACACAGATAAATATTATAAAAAATTAAGCACAAATTTAAAAATAATTCCAAAAATAAACTTTTTTAAAATATATAGTATGTCTATATCTGAAGAACTTTTATGAGACGATATCGTCTCCGCTTATCGTCTTATAAAAGTTAAATGAGATGATAAGCGGAGTTATACACCGGAAGTTATCAAGAATCCATATAGATTTTAGAAACTTGCTATTATTTGCATTAAGTTAACCATCCATATACTATAACACTCTCTAGTTTATGAATTTATCAAAATTTGAATGAAACAAATGGTATTATGTATTGTCTTATTGCGTGGTATATTTTACATATGTTTTTCATTTATTTCAGTATGTTGGAGTATGGTATGAAATTGAGAAATATCCAATGCCATTTGAATCTGGGCTAAAATGTATAACTGCAAACTACACAGCAAAAGATGATTATGTTGTAGTTGTGAACGCTGGAATAAGTGAAAGGTAACAAAAACAAAGTTAATTAGCACTCTATGAAATCTAACGTAACATAATAAACATAATAAATTAATAAAATACGTAAATATATAAAACATACATATGATGCCAGGAAATTATACTGTAAATTTTTAATATTCAAATATAATAATGTTAAAATGCAGCTAAATATTTCTGAACTATTAAAGGATGAGAAGAGGACGATATAGAAACGATATTTCTGTAGTACTAAACGATATAAAAGGGGACGATATAGAAATGATATTTCTGTAGTACCAAACGATATAAAGGAGGACGATATAGAAACGATATTTCTGTAGTACCAAATGATATAAAAGCGGACGATATAGAAATGATATTTCTGTAGTACCAAACGATATTAAAGCGGACGATATAGAAATGATATTTCTGTAGTACCAAACGATATAAAAGCGGACGATATAGAAATGATATTTCTGTAGTACCAAATGATATAAAAGCGATAAGACGATAAAAAGATATAGAAACTTTTTATTTCTGAAGAGGCCTACAATATAAGAGGAAACGATATGGAGACGATATTTCTGTACTATTATGATGGTCGGAGATTGATGTGATAGCTCGTGATGGTTTTATGGCCAAGATAGATGTGATAGTTCGGGATGGTCCTAGAAATTGGAAAACTTGGATTTTTTCATCATTGTACCAACCAATACAACAAATCAGAAAATCGAAATTACTGTAATTTTTGTAACCATTCATGATAATTTGACGAGACTAATAATAATTTCTTTATTTTAAAATAGAACAGGTAAAGTTCAATCTATTGAAGGAAAAGCTACTATTCCTGATAAAAACGTTCCTTCAAAGTTGAAAGTAAAATTTAATTATAGTAAGTATCAAATTTTGAACTCTTAATTAATCTTTCTTGTTTATAGAGTTTAAATAAAATGTTTAAGAACTTAAATAATATTTAGACAATACACATAATTTTAAACAAAACAACTTGAAAAAGATTTTTTATAATCATAATATTTTTAACATCAAAATAATGTGAAAAAATTTTAAAGATTTTTTATTTGACTGTATCATTTTATGTGAAGATTAAAGAGTAGCTTTTGAAGGATTTTGATAAATAATTTTTCTGGATCTCATACCGACTGCAAGCAAAATACATGAATCGAGAAATTTTTTTTTTATAACTACTTCCGACATTTTTTCTCCAAAGTATACATTAATTATTAAAGTAATTACGACTTAATATGGCTTGTATATATATCACTACAATTGCACATAACTCAAATCAAGGTTGGCAAGTTTCTGCCGAGGTGGTTAAAACCACTTGTAGAAACCGGTTAAAACCGGCATAGCAGAAACTGGCAGAAATTCAGAAAATGACATAAAAGTAAGTACTGAGATTGACATACAATGGATAATTCATGGGAAAAACAATTAAATGTTAAACAAAGTGCAATTTATTAACAAAATTATCAACATTCAAAATCAAATATTGCATCGTTTGCACTCTGCAGTAATCTATAACAAAGGATAAGTTTTGATGCAGTTTCTAAACCTAAATAATTTCTCAATTTGCTATGNATTTCAAATCTTAGAACAGAATTTGAAACAAGGTTTAAAGATTTTAATTCTTTGGAAGTCAAATTTTGTTTGTTTCCTTCGATTTTCTCAATAAATATAGACTCAGTACCCAGTTATATGCAAATGGAAGTGATTGAGATTCCGTGCGACTCAGATTTGAAGGCAAAATTCATTGAAGTGAATGTGCCTGAATTTTACAAATATTTACCGGCAAGGTTTGAAAATACTCGAAATTTCGCGTATGTAATTATTTTCATGTTTGGAAGTACTTATCAGTGTGAGTAATTATTTTCTGTTATGAATGGAAATAAATCTCCTGTCCGAAACCGTATTAATAACGCTCACGTTGGGTCAATTTTGAAAGTAGTCTCGGCCAATAAAATTTCTCCCGACATGGGAGAGATAGTATCAGAGAAGAGATGTCAAGTATCAAACAATAATTTTACTTCATATATGTTTATTACACTGTACTATTCAAAATAAAAATATTTGTTTCTATAAACATTAAATTTTTTTTTTTTTGCGGCCCATCTGAAGTTAAGCATTGTTTGTTTGGCCCAAGTTAGCTTTTGAGTTTGTCACCCCTGTTTTAAAGTCTACTACTAATGACGGGTAGATAATTTTAATTTTTATAAAGCAAGTTTCATTATCTATTTCAAAATAATCTTTTTTGGTATACTTGAAGAGGAATGGTGATGTAATAATTTGGATTTAATTTTTACGCACTTTCTTGTTCGTTTGGTTCTAAAAGTCAATAAAATCCCTTACAATACCTACAAATAAAAATCAATAGTTTATCCTCGTTAATTTTTTTAAAACAAATCTTGAATACCAGAGATCATTATGCATTACTAAAACTCCCATTTTAATCTTAATCTCTTAGTACTATAAATATTAAAACCTGATAGATAATTTGTGGTGCAAACCATAATGGTTGAACACTTCTGTTGCAGCACATGTAAAATAGCTTAACCAACACTTCATGCATACATAATAACATATATATTTTTCTGATAGTATTGGGTAAAAATATAAATAAATAAATTAATGGACATTAAATGAACAATATCAAAAAACTGAAGCGTAGAAATGTACTTGATGATATAAAACTTCATTTGCTTCAAAAAATATGAGGATGGTAACAAAAGTTCATTTATTTAACCCGCAAAAAAGCCCGTGGGAATGAATACATTTTGACTTGATTTGCTTCTCTTGACCACTGCTGTTTTTCCAGTTTTTTTTTTCATCTTTATTTATTTTTCATTTCCTATTTCACTCTCAACTACAATGGTTTTTCTTGTTCTGCTTTTCACTTTTACTTTCCATTTTTCTTTCGTTGGCAACTTCCCGATTTCTGTTGCAAACCACTTCATTCACAAGTGGTGAGTCCAGTGAATAGGCGTCTATTTTTGAACGCTCGAAACATGTCTACTTTCGATACTATTTTCATATTTTTTAAGGATGCTAATTTATAAATTTGTATGAATAGCGACCATTTAAGAAGCTTTATATGGACCACTTATAGATAGTTTTATTTTTTATCTCTTACTAAATTTTTTTTATTTAAAAAAAAAAAACATTTTAAGTCAGTTAAAAAGTATCAATTGCTGACAATGTCTCTCTAACTGTAATTAACCCTGCTTTTAAAGGAACAACTAGACCTTTAAGGAAACAACAATTAAAAAATGTTGAAAAATACTATTTTTCCAAAACCTAGTTATAGTCAATACTCTCATTATTTTGAATTTTAACCTTAGAAGAGTCATGAATGATAAAATAAAAACTTATAAAAGTGAACTATTATGTCTCCAGTTTAATTATACTAAGGGATAAGTAAACTGAGGAACAAATAAATTAAAATACGACTTAACTATGTGAGAGCATTTTTACTGTGAAAATTTTCAAAATAAAAAACATAATTAACCTTTCAATAACTATTCTGTATAACTAAAAAACATGCACAATATATATTTGCTGTGCTGCCTGTACTTTCTGGTAGGCAGCAATTTATGAATGACACAAATTGAACTGTAAGACATAATATTTATCGTATAATTAATTTGTTGCTTTAATTAAGTGTAATTTTAAGGCACCTATAATTTAATAAAACAAAGAATAAGTCAACGAAATGTCAATTAAGAATTATCTTTAAGTTCAATAAACTGAATTATTAAATTAGTATTCAACATTTTTTTGAAAAATGACTAAATCTAAATTTAAATTTGTATTGGTTTTGACTCAATATTCGGTGAGTTCGATCCTCGGGCAGGGCAAGGTTGACTCAGCCTTTCATCCCTTCAGTGGGTAGATAAATGAGTACCAAGCATGCTTGGGAACTAAACACTGGGGGTTCCGCGTTGGGCTCACCACCTAACCGGAACACCTGCTCCTGCACCCCAGAGCCCAAGATCAAGAAAACTGAGATGGCACAGTAGGCCTTGGCCCTCTATGGGCTGTCGCGCCACTGAGTTTAGTTTTTGACTCGACATTGCAAAAAAAAAAAAAAAAAAAAAAAAAAAAAAAAANGAAAACAAAAAAAAAAAAAAACAAAGAAAAAACACGACTTTAAAAGTTTTTATTACTCTACATTTTTTAAAATTGAAATCAAAAAATTGTTTAATCTGAATTTGCACTCATTCAATACGCATTTGCACGCATTTTCATTCAAAAATCGACATTGTTTAAATCAATTTTTAAAATTTTTGATTTGTAGAAAACTAATTTTTGATTTTTTTTTTCTTCCTAAGTGCCATTTAAGTCTAACTATTGGGTATTGGATACCGATTATGATGAATATTCAGTTGTCTACTCATGCTTCAGCGTTCTACATCTTTTCAAAACAGGTAGAGTATTTTTTTTTTTTGAAAAAGTTTCCTAACTACTTTTCTTCATAAAAAAAATGACGATTCGTAAAAATAAAACATCAAATTTAAAATCAAATAATTTTTATGTTAAGTATGAAAGCAGGCAAACTTTTGTATAAAAAATAGATTTGAATTTTAATAATTTTATAATATCAATAAAAAAAAACACGTGTGGTGGTTCAGAAATGCATACAAAATATCAAATTTAAAATAAATTGTTTTGCATAAATTATGAAATAAAATAGAAGCTTTATTACTAATTATTTAAATAGTTTTTGGAGCGAAATATCAAATGTAAAAATTATTATTCTTTTGTTAACTAAAAGAAAAATACACGCACATTCAAATATTTTTTTTTACATAAATATCAAATTTAAAATAATTAGATCAAGTGCGAAATATTCGACTCTTCAAAGAAATGTTCTTTAGAGAACATTAAATTTAAATAAATTAAAATACTCTTTTCGAATATTCGAAATATTAATTATTCTTCGGTAAATTTTAAAAAAAGAAACATATTAAATGCTTCGTATTTTCGTTTTACGCAAAACATAAAATTCGAAAATAACTAATCTTGTATTAAATGTAATGAAAGAACCATAAAGTACACAAAAAAGTTTTACATCACACTTGAAATAATTTATTTTATGTTATCTAAAAAAAATAAATAAAAATAATAAAAAAGTAAAGGAGACACACCAAGTACCGAAGGAGGAAATACAGAACATGATTTTCCATTAAATATTTTAAGTTTTGAGCAACAAACTATTTCTGCTTAGTAAATCGTAAAATTGTTTCAAAGAGTGATTCAGTTTTGTTAAAGTATTCGCAAAGATTTAATTAAATTTCGCATAAAAATGAGCTAATTTAGGTAGTTTTTTTACGAAAAATAAGCCTATAGTTATAGGGTCTATGTTCAAAATCATAAAACTGTATTAAAAAAATTACATAATGATTCTTTACAACAAAAAAAAAATACAAATGCAGTTTAAATTTTTAAAAAACGAAGCTAAAATAAATATTTCTTAAGAATGCTTATTATTTGGTAATTTTGCACATTAGAATTTTTAAAATAAGATAATGATATGCAAAAATAATTTAATACAATCAGAAAAATTATTAACTGAATGAATCATTATATTTTAAATAATGTGGTTAAATTATGCTATTCTGTGAATCTTTCAGAATTTGTATGGATTTTATCTCGAGAATCAGCTTTAGAAGAGGCAACGAGGGAGAACATATATAAATTTTTGGATGACAACAAAATCGATCGCAAAGCTTTGACTGCTACAGTACAAAACTGTTAAGTTTCAAGATTGATGAAGAAAGAATTCAATAAAAATATTTAGAAGCAAAGTTTCTCATATTGCATTTCAGTAGAACAAGCATACACACATACATATTAATCTTTACTCCGAATTGGAGAGTAGGGCGTCTATCTTCATCTCAGTCTATTTGTGTCCAGCTACTTTGCAACTCTCCACGTCTTTGAATATTAATTACAATTCATTTATAATCGTCCTTGAGACGCGATGTCTTAGGGGATAGAACGTTTGCCTTCCAATTGGGTGAATCGGGTTCGAATCTCAGCGATGGCTGAGCGATACGAATTCCGCATCCGACTTGTACCGACCACAGTGCTGACGTAAAATATCCTCAGAGGTAGACGGATCATGGGTAAGAGTCCATTTGTAGTCAGGCTAACCGTGGGAGGTTACCGTGGTCTTCCTCTCCATGTAACGCCATCAAAAAGTCCTCCCCAAAGGTAAATTTCTCCCAATACTTGATCCAGGAATTCCCTTATCTTCCGTTTAAAATTACAAGGCTACAGAGTTGAACATTAGTAGTCTTCAACCCAAATTAACGGCGGTTATAAAATAAAATAAAATCCATTTCCATTTACGTTTTTCAATTCCCAGTTCAATTAGTTTCTCTTTTGTTTTTTCTAAAGATCTCTGTGTTACAAATTTTATGAAATAATCATATATGTTAACAAATAGTTATGAAAAAATTCTTTTATAATTAATTACCTACAAATTTTTATGAAATACCCATGTATATTAATAAATATTTGTAAGAAATTCTTTTATAATTATTTATTAACACATAAGGGTTGATAAAATCAAAACATAAATTTTTACAATGCGAAATTTCTTTGAAATTAGTTTCATTATTTCTAGTGGGCATCAATTACATAGAAAACACACATATATGTCTATAAATATTTATAAAAAATTTAAAATAACGAAGTTGTTAATTCCAAAGCATGATTAGTTTTGAGTATTTGTGTATTGTTGTTAACATTAAAATGGACATTTTTCCGAATCTTTTACAGTTTTTCGCAATGAGAAATTCTTTCGAAAATAATTTCACTGCTAGAAACAGAAAATTAAGAAAAATAGTTTTATCAAAAGCATGCTGATATCATAACTTTTTTTATCACTAGCGTAAGGATGGATACTTTCAGAATTTTTTAAAATGCACATAATCTCTTTGAAAGTTATTTTATACTTATATACATGTTAAAAAAATTTAAAAAATGGAAAAAGCATCCATCAAAATTTTAAAACAGAACTTTTTAAGCCAAAAACAGATTCCGCATGTGCATATCGCTAACATAAGGGTACACATTTGCGATTCTTTTTAATAATTTATTGAAAAGCAATATTAATTTTAAACTAGTTTCCTAATTCAAACTGAGTGTCAATTTGTTTGAATATGCCTAGAGATATTAATTACGAGAAGATTTATGAAAGAAATTTCATTTGGACCAAACCACGTTATGTCCATAGAATATACACCGAAGAGCCATTACATTATGACCACCCTGCTAATAACATGTAGGACCACCTTTAGCCCTCAAAACTGCTAGCACCTGCCGTGGCATTGATTCCACAAGGTGCTGATAGGTAGTCTGAGGTATCTGGTACCAAGCGCTCACCAACTGGTCCTGCAATTCCCTCACATTGCGAGGGGGTAGCGTGGCAGCACGAATTTGGTTTTCCAAGTAGGACCACAAATGCTCTATTGGATTAAGGTCAGGTGAATTTGGGGGCCAAGACATGACTTGAAAGTCACTGGAATGTTCCTCGAACCAATCCATGACGATTCGACCCTTATGACATGGTGCATTATCCTGTTGGTAAACACCATCCCCCGCAGGAAAAACTGTTGCCATGAATGGGTGAACCTGGTCTGCAACTATGTTCAAGTAGCTTACAGACGCCAGGGATTGTTCTATGAGGATTATGGGTCCTAATGTGCCCCATGAAAACATTGTTCCTGGGCGAGAAACCATGAAAACCTGGGTGAGCCCATTATTATAGATGGAGGATGGTCATAATGTAATGGCTCTTCGGTGTATATTGCTAACGCAAAGGTAGACCTTTTGCGAATTTTTTATTATTTTTTTTAAAGCGAAATTCATTTGTAACTGGGTTTATAATTAAAAGTGAGAGTTATCTTGTTAGAAAACACCCACATACCATATTAACGGTAAGTTAATACTTAAAAGAAGGAAAACCGAAAATGATATCGAAATCAAACTAATCTCTATAGAGAAAAGCGGAAGTTTGAACATTAAAACTCGTTGGATTTCCGGAGTAAAAAGATAAAAATTGAAAAGTAGTTTTCAGAAACACAATCAGTGTTTCAGCTCACAGTTCAATTGGTTTTAACGTTTTCATTATTCCATCTTCCCGACTAGTGATACTTTATATTTATTATATTTTTTTTGACATTATTTTAGATAAGGATTCTAAAAATATATGTTGTGGTTGGCAATTACGGAACACCCTGTTTATAATATTAGTATGTTAGTATAATTCGACATATTTCCGGGAGTGATAGTACGAAAAATGGCACATTCTGCAATGGAACATTCCGTCTAAATACTCTAAGTGGACAAAAACCTTCCAAGCTTTCAACCTTAGCTAAAAAGCAAAAATTGCTTCAGTTTTGATCGTTATTCTTATATTGAAAATTTTTAAGGATATTGAATTGCATGTTGAAAAGAAATTAGACTAAAAATGATAGGCAATAATGCCTTCGATTATAATAATTAATCTTTAACACTTACTAAAATTGAAAAATGGGATTAGTTTTATACTGATAACAAGTAACTGATGATAAGTAATGATTATTTGCTCTAAATAATTTTTAACTCTGATACCTATGATAAATAAGTTCAGATTCTGCTGTTCTCAACTCAATGTTTCATTTATGCATTCATACCCTTCTTATCCATTATGATAAAAGAAAATGCCATTAATGTATTCTCTGCTTACAATCATAATGTTGCCCAGGGAACGCCATTCGAGGAGGCCAGGTTATTTAATTTTGACTGCTTAAACACTAAGCGCAATTCATAATAACAAAAACAATATGCTACGCCTATGGAGTGATGTAAATATTTAAAAACTGTGTTTTTAAATTACAGAAACTGAAAAAAAATTTAATTAATCGAATATGGCTTAGAAACTTATTTACTAATATAATTATTATATATTTATATTTTTATAAAAGCGAATAATAGCTTAAAAATGGAGAAATAGTTGCTTATATAGTGAGCTTATAAATGACCCCATATCTCCCCTTAATATAGTGCGAAAGCTTGTTATAAGTCGCAAAGCCAGGTTTAGTGTGACCGTTAGTGTTAAGTGATAGGTAGGAAACAAGTGCTAGATCCGAGGGTCTAGCGGTCAAACTCCGTTAATGTGGTCAATATTTTAAAATTATACTTCAAAATTAAATGTTTTTTCAATTATTATTATTTTCTTTAGTATGGTATAATATAATACCTGACCGAGTTAGAGAAAATAATAGGTTAATATTAAAGTATGATATTGAGCCATAAATATATACAATATATCAGCAATATTTCTCCTTTTTAAACACTGTTATACGTACTTAGAAAGTGAAAAGAAAGGAAAAGTTTGAGTAAAGGAATATTTTTATTTCGTTTCAATATTGTAAACTAATTAAAAAAATTAATTTTATCTAAATTTAACTTTTAAATACAGAACGTGTCCGAGGTTTGAACCCTGAACCCTCGGAACTGATGCTCACTGGCCTGTTTATTAATTCAAAACTATAGGGGAAATCGTAAACATATTCCCCAAATTCACCAACAGTTTTGTGGTTTGGCCTAAATTATAAGTACCTTCAACTATAGGTGGATTTGGGGTTTTATAAGGATAGTTGAAAATAAAAGCAGAATTAAGGTATTTCTGTAAAGAAAGAGACACAAAAAAAGTTTGACATTGCAATTTGCTCTCCTTGTGCCCAAACGAAATACTCTATAACTTTACATTTAAGTATATTGAAATAATAAATGGGCAAATTTTGAAAACTATAGTTTTATGTAAATGCGAATTTCTGGCCGTTATAATATAAGCAGAACAAACAAGAAATCTTTAGAAATTTTTCATAAGTGTCCCGGAGCTATTTTTATGAAGTGGAATATTTAAAGCGATGATTTAAAATATTTTATTAAAATTATCAATCTCTAAAATTGGTTTTAATTCCTTAATAAAAAGAAAAATAATTCGCGACTAATTATCCCTTTTATTTACATTCGCTTCTGTAGTCCGCAATTGTTTTCGAACTCACAGTTGTGGATTTAGCAGTTTGGTCATCTGACTGTTTAAGGGGATTTGGACATCTGGAGTGGATTTACATTGAGGGGGGGGGGTCTGGAAAGGGATCTGGAGTGGGTTTACATTGGATGCACCCTATTAAGTTCCATTTCGTAGCCTTTAGTTTGGTTTGTCTGTATGTATGCGGCTTTTTTTAGTAGTTTAGTATGTTATTGCATCGATATATGACCAAGTTTCGAAATAATAGGTTTAAAGGACAGTTTCTCTTCTCAAAATTGATTTAAAAGTTGTAGTACAAGATATTTCTTGCTATGCCTTATTAATATCATAATTATTTTGTTTGGATCCAAATTTAGGTTCATTGTCTTTTTAAAATTAAATTGGTTATTGGTCGAAAGAAGTAAGTCATGGTATGAGAAGAAATATGTACAATCACTTTTTAATAGTAAGGGATTGTAAATTAAATGTATGTCTTACTCTATTTGTAAATAGAATACACTTTGGACTTGCAAATACTGTAATTTATTTGATAATCAATTTACCGATGTTAAAGAATTACAGCACTTTAAATATTTGCATATTAAATTGTCTTGAATAACAGTTTTCAGACATTGAAAAGGAACAGTTATATAATTTTTTTAGATGTTACAGCAAAGTCTTCCTTTACTTTCAGCCAAGTCGTGATTTACTTTAGGACACGTCTTGGTTTACTTTCAGATCAGTCGTGATCTACTTCCTCCTAAACAATCTCCTGAAGAT